TCCTACGCAGGGACATTGTTTGTAGTTTCCTTTTTCGGGAGATCCTCAAAATTCAAGTAAATTTTGAAACCGAAACTTTGTAAGAATGGTTTTCAGATTTGCGGCAGAGAAGGTTTTTTTAGAGCAGGTGCCGTCAAATATTTGCATAAGCGTGTGAAAACAATTTATTAAGAAACCATACCTACTCTTGCACTGAAAAATTGTTTATCTAAAAATTTCTTACTTTAGTTATTACTTGATAAAACAAGAATCTGGGAAGTCAGTTAGTTGAAGTTAGAGTACAAGTTGTTAAAATTCTATTGTCAATGAATCGCGACCAATGGAAGAAACAAACATTTAAAAGTACGTGTTATAATAGTTACATTTATCTTCGATGAATCGTGTTTTACATACGAGGCGATTTCTAAACAAGGACGCTAAATTTTGACGCCAAGTTTTTCTGTAAGTTGAAGCTTATATGATTTTTATGAATCATCTAATTTTGTTTTAGAAATTTTTTAATGATTGCTTGAAATGTTTTGTGTTTAATTACGTTACAAGGACGCTAAATTTTGACGCTAAGTTTCTCTGTAAGTTGAAGCGCAAATGATTTTTACGAATCATCTAAAAATCCGGTTTAAGAATTTTTTAATAATTGCTTGAAATGTCTTATATTATGTTAAATTGCGTTTTGCTTTTCAACATCAACTTCCGTATTAAAGTTCCGAACTGACTTATACTTGACATAGTTTACACTACCCTTATACATGCTTTTTCAGCTTAATTCGAATTTTCTTTAGAATTGAAATCCTACTTAGTTGAAAATAATATCTGTGAAGTTCATAATTAAAGTTAAGTTCAGTTAGTGCAGCAATTAGAACTGAAAAAACAGACTTGCTGGGGTGTAAAAATGAGGACCATCTTGAATTGGAACACTCTGGCCGTGGGTTCTCAAATTAAAAGCTTGTAAACTGCTGGAGGTTTATTTTCTCTGTGAGTGGATTTACTTCAACTCACCAGAAGGATTGAGTTGGATGGCGGCACAAAGTCCCATTGAAGCAGGAAGAGTATGTACTTGTGTGAAAAGTGATTTTGTCTTAGCTTGTCCGTTTTTGTTTGTTTCGCTTTGTTAGCGAGGTCAAAATTTCATCTAATCTGTCGCTTCTTTGTGAGACTTGCTTGATTCTTCTTTTTCCTTGCTAACTTCAGATGATGTTTTTACCATTCTCTTGAGAAAAGAAACATACACAAAGGACAAAACGAAGACTGATCCAACGAAAACACCTATATCCACAGCAAGAAGCATGTTTCACCGGGGTAGAATAACTTAGCAGTGAATTACTTCGGAGTCCTGATAACTTCACTTTCTCACTTGTGCGCGTTCTTCTTTAACTCGACCTTTAGAGAAATGTGTTTTTCTTCCTAAATCACGAACGTGCTTGCATGCCCAGCGTCACTGTTTTCTGCTGAGCTGTTTTGCAAAGAACATTTATATGACGCAAGGATTTGAAAAACCGCGTTATAAAAACTTGATGACTTTTAACCACAGCTATACCCGTCAACTTCAAAATAAACACGCGAGAATTTTAGGAGAAAGTCAGAGTGTTTTCTACTATGTTTATCTCTTTATAAATAGCTCAGTTTTTAGTTATGCTTTTCATTTGGAGAAAACGCCGTAAGAGATAAGCTTACACTTCAACTATCCTTTAACGAGAAATACTCGCGGAGTCTCCCCAACCTCCTTTCCTTTTCTTCATCTACTTTCTTGATTAGCCTTGGCGCGGCATATATTAGAACTAAATAAACTTTTACTGAATAATGTTCCCACTTGCATGAATATTTGGAAGGAATGAATTCTTCAAAAATATCTAATGCTACGTGTAATGTTTACTGGAGTTGTTTTGAGTCTTTGCCAGCAAAATCGAGGAATTCATGAATATTAAAAATATTCTATGCACACTTTTATGGCTTACGCTGATTTATGCGGCAAAATGAAAGGAAAATACTTAGTGGCTAACTGACTGAAAGTGTTGCCCTCGTGATAAAATTTACCTGGTGCAAAGTTTTTTGCAAAAGGCGTGCCCGTTGTGCACGTGCGTTATGTATGATATCTGGATCATTTCTTTCCTCTGCAAATCAACGACGCAAAGATACAAATTTCTGTACATTTTGGAGAACGTGAACCACGAAAGGGGAATGTTTGGGTCTCTATTTTAGATCGAAACGGTGTCTTTACATGTTCAGCTTAGAAGAGTTTTGACGTCGATAAAAAACAGAAATGATCCAGATTTTTGTTGAGATTCCTAAGTCAAAAATTTCTTAACTTTGTTTTTGTTTTGTAAACCCTCGTTAGCGGCTCGAGCTCAACTCTCTTGTTTACATTTGTCATTTTGTAAACAAACGCGCGCGCGGCCGTTTTCAGCTGCGGTCGTTTTATAGTGACTGCTTGAAACACAAAGGCGATGTAAGCGTGACTTGTCAAACGAAACAGCACTTCGATCTGACCACCCTGACAATTTGTAAGTGACTTATATGTGATAGTTGTTGTGGTGACGAAAAATCAAGAGCAAATAGAAATCGGGAAAGAAAAAACAATAACAAATGAATCGATTTGAATTATCAAATCTATGTTTGCATTTGACAGATAATAATGTAGTTTTTCATTCCTGGACCGAAACAGTTTTAACAAATAAAACAAACAAATGAAACGTTCCCCTCGCTTATAAAACCTTTTTAATTTCTCTTCATTTACGCAAGCAATCCCTAAAACCCCAGAATTTCATCCACACATACGCGTACACCAAGAAAAATTCGTGTGGGGAACGTAATTATTAAAATCATTGCACTACAGTCACTGAGTTATTCCAGACAAAAATTACGCTGACGGCTTCGATTGACAGGACTTGCTTTGAAATTATTTCCAGCCTCGCAGCGTCTCCTAGCCAACAACATGAACAGCATGGAATGATTCTGCATCAACAGAGCGAGCAATGTACATCTTGTCTTCCTTCGCTGGTTTCGTTGCAGCCTGAAGAAAAAGATCACTTTTCTTGAAAGATTTTCGATGCGAGCTGATGAATATAGTTCCCTTGTACTTTAACTGGCTGTCTGTTCTCCTTGTAAGATAACTACACTCTTAAAGATCATTTAGACTCCTGAAGTACGTTATGACAATGCATGTAGATCTCGATCATTAACATTTCAATAATCCAAAGATCAGTCGAAAAGATTTAAGACCACATGTGCCTCCGTTATCGCGCAGATGAATACCTAAAGTCTGCTAATACCCCGTATCTGAAGTCTCATTAGCCCTGGACGGACCCGTCAGTAGTAGAAATGTCCCATCTTATCTTGTTCCACGGGCTGGTAAACTACCGACACTGATTTTTCGCGAGTTTTTCCTCCACGAAAATACAGCTTTATCGCAACAGCGTTTGCGACGGAAAATATCAGTACTGCAGAGATGATGAGGCAAATCTCTAGCACTGGCATATCCTCGATGGATCAAAGCCCTAACGAAGCTTGTCCAGAAGTGAACGAAACATAAGCGACCCCCCCGCGCACCTGATCAATCACCGGCGCCGTCACCTAGATACCTAACAACCATCTTGAAGTGCATGTTAACAGCTCTCTTTATCCACTCACGCAGGATAATTTGTTATATTTAAAGATTTACAAAAG